AGGCTGCCCTGGTGACAGTGGAGGACTGGATCAAGTGGAGGACCAGATCCAAAGCTGGAGAAGCAAACCCAGGACACATAAAATGAAAGGCCCTGAATGCAAGGACAAAGGACTCTGGATTTGAATTCAAGAAGCCATAGGCCCTCAAGCCAAAATGCAGACATCCCCGATGAAATATTTCTCATCACAGTAGCTATCAAGTGATGAAATCACCAATATCCCAAGCAACGACTTCCAATTCCTTTGTAGCCTCTGTGCTCCACGAAACAGGACTGTCACTCGTTCACACACCTAGACAAACATTACTAAGTACCAGACCTCTCTCCCAACCATCAACACACCAGGGGGATAAACATGGTTAGCCTAATTCCATTCATCCCACAGAGCCAGTTCTGCTTACCAAAGGTGGCCTACTAGGCACTCACATTCTGTATTTTCTAGCTCCTCCACCACAAGACCTCTTTTCTCCCAAACCTGCTGCAGAATCATCCTTTGGCATTTTCTCCCTGTAAAGGTAGTGTCTCAAGCCAGTTGAGAACCCAAGGAACGCAGAAAGCAGGAAACCAACAGGAGGTCAAGCCACAGACCTCAAATGACTTGCCCATGTGCACCTCACCTTGGATGAGCCACCAGCCTTCAGAAAGACCTGCTCTCCCATGTCTCCCACCTCTGCTCCTCATGGGATGATTCAGGGCCCACAGATCATCCTGTTCCAGAACTCCCCCAGTGACAACAACAGATTTACAGAGCCCAAGGCAAGAGCCTCCCAAGACTTCTTCCCACTGGAGCCCCAACCCCCTTCCCTTAAACCCTATGCAACAGGAGAAGCCACTTCCCAGTGTTCCAACCACTGCATTTCTGCAATCATTAAATCAGGCCTCCCAATTAAGGAGTTTGCAACTTCTGCTCACCTTGGAAATCACTGCAGGATCTGAGAAGCAAATCAGAGCCTGTAAGCCAGCCGTCAGAGGAAACACAGAGCAGACAAATAATCTCATCCAGCCCCCCCTTTCCTCACCATCCCCTGGCTGACAGTGACCAGGAGCAATTAGTGCTGTTATGTCCCAGTGCATTTCCCAGCTACATCTCAACTGAGATGGCTCTCCTTGTAATATTAATTAAAAACAGATTTTTTTTTTTTTTGGCAAACCCCTGAAGAATGGCTTCTGTGGCAGGCTTCTTTATTAAGCCTCTGAGAAGGCAAAATGCATTAAGAAATTGTGACACAGGGGACTGTGAGTTGGGATGAGAAAGGCTGGGTGAGCCAGCCAAAAGCTATTTGAAAAATCTGTTTGGGAGCCACGATCAGATGCTTTAGTGAGTGAAATACAATTAATCTGACCAAATCTGTCACTATTTTGCACATTAGGAGTAAATATTTTAGAATACAGTTCAGCTACATTAGTTAAGGGTAGGAAATCTTGCCCTGGGGAATCTGAGTACTACACCTCCTAGCACATTCTGGAAAGGTGATCTGGCAAAGACCTGGAATGATGAGCATCTCCCCATTTCTCCCCACTGAGATACAATGTTGGGCACATTTATTCAAAACTACCTGGTAAGTCATTCCAAGCAGGCACACTGCAGGGACAGCAGCCTGCAAATTGCCGTCACTGAGAGTGAGTGGCTGGAAAGAAATGGAACCCATTCTCACCTCAGCACCAGGAATGAGGGACCCCCATCAAGGGGTCCACCCAAGAAGGAGAGGGCTCTCCAGAGCAATTGGCCATCTCACTGAAAAAGCAGGGAGGCTTCTTCCTTCATTGGAAGGGAAAGGACAGAATAATGTTTTTTTCTGTTCCTCTGTAAGCCACAGGGACTGTGCTCCCCCTGGGTGTTTGTGAAACACTCTCTAACCCATTAATCACCAGGATCCCAGCTGGAGACGAATGGTAAGAAAGAACAACAACAGCAAATCACTCCTCCAGAGTAAAGGTTCCAAGGCCAAGTCCACTCATCTCCCTCCACCTGGAACATCTAGCAGAGTGACATGGTCAGAGGTGGGACCCAGACTCCCTCCCCTTCCTGCTTCCTTCACCTCCAGCCTGCTGGGGACCTCCTCCTTTGTTCATCAAGCCATGCCACTCCAATCCTGGGACCAAAGCAAACACCTGCTCCAAGCCTCGGAGGAGGTTCTCCTCCTGCCTCTAAGGTCCTGGGGTGGGTGCTGCATTAGTTAAGGGTAGGAGATCTTGCCCTTAACTCTGTGGTGGGGTGAAGGCCCTTCTCTATGTCCAGCTCCACATCATGGCTGTAAACTACCAGAGTGGAATTCAATTTTCAGTTATATGAGTGACTAAAAACTCTCCCCATAGGGGGACTCTTGGGAAGTAACAAAGTTTGTCAAAGGCACCTGGGAGAAAAGCAGGAAAGCCCTAATTGTCCTAAAACTGAAACTGCTCTTCTTCCTGAAGGAGGACACACTTAATACCCCAGAAGCCAGAGGGAAAGATGGAATCATCTCTCCAAGCCAAAAGAGCCTGCTAGACCCCAAGGTCTCTGCCTTGTGACATCTCCTTCCATCCTGAAACAATGAAGGAATTCCTGAGGCTTCCTCATCCCCACAGCGACTCTTTTCTTCCCAGGGAACCCACCTGGGGAATGGTTTCCCAGCTCTTCTCACAAAGGGTGTTTCCTCAGAGTGTCTCAAAGACAATTTCCCCTTCTTCTTAAACAGCATCACAGACCTGATAATCAAGGACACCTTTCTCTCTGGTACTGCCAGCAAAATGTGGTCAGAAAAGGCAGGCACAGCATAGGGGATAATCATGTGGTTCCCTCTCCAGACTGGGGAGGGGACAGGATGGGCCCTGTGCTCACCCGGGCTGCCTTGCCTTTGCTGGGGTGGTGAAGTAGCCAAAAGCACAACCAATAAAGTCTCCAGGGGCTGCTCATGATGGCTTAAATCTCATCACTGTTACTAAGGCCTTCCAAACCCAACAGTCCACTGCCTAGACCCTTTGGCCCTGTTTGATTTCCCTAGGGGCAAAGGCCAGGCTGCCCCTTGCTTCCTTTGCTGCTCAATTGCCCCTAGGATAGGCAGAGAAGGCCATGCACATTTAACTATTTGCAAGAAGCATTTTCTCTCTAAAGTCTCATCTCCCGAGGCTTTGTCAGCACTCAAAAAATGAACCTTTAAAGCAGAAACATATGAAAACTCTATAGGCAGAATGAATTTATATTGTCTAAATATGGCAGTAATAAAGCCTCAGATATGCCAGGACATGGCCCCCTCTTCCTAGGATACATTTACTTCCATGCAGCCTACCCATCTTCCTCACCTAGTTAAAATGTGAACACACAATTCTTAATTACCAAACTAAAATGAAGTTAAGATTACAAGCCCTGCTGTTAGAGAATTCTCTCTCCACCTTCCCTACCTCTCACTTCCTCCCCCTTCTCCTTTTCTCTTTCTCTCCCCTTCCCTCTTTAACTTTCTCCCTCTCTTTCCCTTTTTCCCTCTAACACTCACACATATGTCCTCGGGGACTGGGAAATCTTCAATCACCCAGCCCAGCACAAGCACACCTTGCTCAACCAGAAAGCCCAGAACTGTCCAGCAGGAGGCTTTGGGGTGTTCATCCAAAGTAGATGAAACCAGCTACCGAGCTGCCCTGAACTGGACTCCACTTGTTCTTGGAACCCAGCATCTGGTATAGAGGCTGGGCTCCCTGCCCTGTGTTGGGCATCACTGAGAACCAGGAAATCTGCGCTGCTCTGCGGTACCCTGGCTTTCCTGTTACTCACTACCCATTCCTGTGACACCCACAAGCTCTGTTAAAATAAGGAGAATATTTCCCAAGAAAATCTTTTCACACGCCAGTCAAGACGGGAAATACAAACGGGGGAGATGGGCAGCTTTTCCATCAAGTGATTTCCCCAGAGCTGCTTGTACAGACATCCATCACCCCACGCCTGGAGTCCAGCTCTACCCCATGCCAAGTTCTCATCTGAACCGAGAACCAGACAAGAGCAAACGATTTGGATGGAGTGGGAAAGACTGTGAGATGAGTCCTTTGCCCTTCTTTGATTCGGCTCCCGGGCACCGGGTGGCAGTGAGGTGGGGAGAGCCCCCGGGCAAGCGCTGCGGGCTGCTGCAGCTGCCCCGGCAGGCGATGCCCAGCACCGGAGCCCCAGTCCTGAGTGCAGGGGCCGCCAGAGTGGGCTCCACGGCGCCACCTCTCGGTACAGCAGCGTTCAGGGGACCTGGAGGGTGGAAAGGTGAACAGAAAGCAAAGGACCCAGCTTGACTCCGGGAGCAGGTCGCAGAGGTGAAAGCGAATCTTGTGCTAGGCCACTTGTGCGAGCTTGTGCAGGAGTGAGGGCGAGAGAGGTGGAGATTATGCTGATTTCTCTTCACGCTTTAAACTTTTTCTACTGCCTCTCCCATAGCCTTCCAGGGCAGTTGTCTGGGCTTTGAAGACGAAACTGGGTTTTCCTGAAGGCCAAGGATTGAGCTGACTTAGACAAGCCTCGCGCCTGGACCAGTAGCAGACCATGAGCCTAGAGCGAAGGAAGAGCAGCGACCCCAAAGCGAGCAGGAGTCTGGAAGTCCGAGCGGCATCAATCTCCCGGGTTCCCTTTCTCGTGATGGGTGCGGGCGGTTGGGTGTGGGGGAATTCGTTAGTCTATCCAGCCGCTTCTTCACATCAGCCCGTGTCCTCACCCACGAAGTCAAGCACCCCACAAACAGGAAAACTGACTCCAAGCGGAGTATGGGAGAAAGTGACCACAGATCCCTGCCCTGCTCATCTTTAAGACACCCACTGCTCCTCTCCTCTCCTCTCCGGACGGCCCCAGTCCTAGGGTCTCCAGTAAACAAATGCACACACCATCTTACAACAAACTCCGCTAACCTGTTGGAGGCAGGACAAACCTTCTCTAGAAGTCCAGGTGCTCCCCCATTTGTATGGACCCCCGAGCAACTACCTACCCCTCGCTCCTGTCCCCCATTCCCCCATGCTGTCAGGAGACAGATTCGCCGCCAGGTGGGTACTCACACTGCTGTTGTGCCCGGACCAGTGCACCATTGCTTGATTGTGGGCCGAGTCCCCGGTCAGCGCGAAAGAAGTGCTAGGCAGTCGGAGCTCTTCAGCCACTGATCCCCCAGTCCGAGGGGCCTTCACCTCCTCCCGGGAACCTTTAGCCAGAGGGCGGCTTCCTTTGGAACCTTCGGCAGAAGCCGTAGCCCGGGCGTCCCCGCGCTCCAGGGCGCTGGGGGGCTGTGCCCGGCGACTCCTCCTCGTGCCGCCAGGCTTGCCAGGAGCCGGGATGCCCTGGACCCACCGCGCGCCTTCAGGCGACGTACCCTCGGCTCCAACCTGCATCTCAATGCCCCGAGACTGGGGCGGCAGCTCTGGTCTAGGCCGGCGCCCCAGCGCGGCGGGTCTCCGCGCCGTCGCCAGCTCCTCCGGCCACTGGTTCTCCACTGCCCGCGGCAACAGAGGAGACAACGCCGGTGACCGAGAAGCCGTGAGGCGCCCGGGACCGCCCGTTGAGCCCCAAGTGATCTCGGCACCTGCCAGGACCCACGTTGACAGGAGTAGAAGCCCTGTCCGGGCGAGGGGCGCCCCTGGCCAGCCTGTGGGGCGCTCCGTGCGCGCCGCCTCCATCCCGCTGCGGCTACCGTGGCTCGGGCTGCCGAGTGTGTGGCGCCCGCCGAGGTGCGGGTCCGGCGCGGGGGGTGTGCGCGCGCCGGCGAGCGAGCGTGTCGGGGGAGTGGGGAGGGGGCGGCCGAGAAGGAGGTGGTTCAGGCTGGCGCGCCTCGCCGGTCCTCTGCACTCTTCTTCCCACCCCCAGCTCGCTTACTCGGTCTCTCGTCCAGAGGGGGACTCCAAATCCCAAGGAAAATTAATAAATGCTCCTTCAGTGCTTTTGTTGTTGTTAAAATAAGATCTCCTAAAATCGTTCCCCCTGAGCTCCTCCAGAAATTGTATAAAAATGAGTGTTCAAAGGTAATAAGAAAATCCTCTTTTTAAATATGAAAATCAAGCCGGATCCAGAGGGACTGGCAACGGATCCCAGTCCTGAGTCTCTGCGAAATCCAGCCTCCAACCTGCTCCGGGTGAAGAGTTGGGTGCCGCTTCTCGTCGCGTTTGGGGGTTTACTCTTCGGCCTGTTCCAGGAGCGGGAGATGGCGCACGGGGAGGTATAAGGGTCTCGGGGGAGGAGGAGGAGGAGTAAAGTGTTTTCAGCGCCAACTGTTCGCGTTTGATAGCTTAGGGGGAGCCCAGAGCCTCCGCGCAGGGAGGCAGCGCGCGGAAGCCAAGCGCGGGATGGACCCACCACTCTGCTCGCGGCTCCCCGCCCCGCGAGGCCTGCGCCCCCGCCCGGTGCGGGGGCGCGAGGAGTGCGTGCGTGCGCGTGCGTGAGCGCTGGAGGGCGGGAGTGAGGCTAGGGGTGCGCCGGGGCTGGCGGGAGGGCGCCGCAGGGTGGGGGGGTACCTGACTGGGCTGATTAGGGGGCCGGCTGGGTGAGCGGGGGCGCGCGGCTCCGTGCGTGCGCGTTTACACAAGCTTGGGTGCGTGTGTGAGCAGCAGGGCTGGGCTAGGGGTGCGCTCGAGCCGTGGGCGCTCGCGCATCACGCACGGGCTGTGTTTGCATTTCCAGGAGCCTGTGAGTCGTCAGAAAGGCAATGTCGGGAACAAGGCAGGCTGCTCTCGGCAGCCCCCTCTCCCTCGCGCCGGGGGCACCCACGGCCCCCAGTCGCCCGCAGATGTAACCTGATTAAGCTTCTTAGGGGGCTAGGAAGGAGAACCGGAAAGCGTCGGCAGCGGGGGTAGGGGTTGCCAGCTTCTCCAGTTCAGGGGCTCTCCTTCCTGGGACCCTCGGCCCAAAGTGGAGAGAGGAAATAAGTAGAGACCGTCAGCTTCCACGGGAAGATACAGGCCCCATCTTGTTGCCTAGGACTGCCGAGTCTTGCCCTCCCTTTCCCTACACCGGTTTCTGAGCCGGCTCAGTTGTTTCAAAGTGTCCGCCCAGTTGGAAGGTCCCGGCCCAGCGCTGCTTTGGGCTTATCGTGCCCCCAGGACCCCGCTGCAGGAGGGCAGCCTGGACACTTGGTGCTTCTGGGATCCCTCGTGACCACTAGAAGATGGAGAGTTCGGGTGATTTGGAGAGAGGGAGCTAAACCTGAAGATGATGCCGAGCCGCCGTTCATGGGCACATGGACAGGTGTAGCTGGCCGTCTCTGAGAATCTCTGGGATTTTTAGGGTGGGAAAGTCCCAGAGATCGGAGGAGCAGGAGGAGGGACTACTGGGAAAGGAGTAGGATGGTGGGAGGGGGCTTGGCGAGGAAGAAGGCTCCCAGGCTCTTCCTTTCCTTTTGGGGACTGAAGAGTCCCTTTGGAGGAGGTGGTTAAAGCGGAACAAGAGAAAGGAAAATAAGCAAGAGGGCAGGAAAGAATTGTGACATAAGGTAAAAGAGAAAGGGAGAAGAGGGGAGAGATGGCGAGGTGGAGAGAAGGATGCGAAAGAAAGAGGGAGATAGAAAGGGCGAAAAAGCGCCGGGGAAGAGCCAAGAGGGATGGAGGAAGCCGAGGACTCGCCCGGGAATCTGAGACCCCTGAGGAAGGGGGACAACCAGCGATTCCTAGAGCCCCTACCCTCGTGAACTTGCTTCCCCACCGAGCCAAAATGGAAATTGGAGGAGGAGGCTGGGCCGGAAAAAGAAGCCAGTGACAATGTCTGACCCAGAATGAAATGGTTCTTGGCGTCTTGTGGAGTCTTTTCCAGCCTCCGCAAGAAAAGTTCCAGCGCCGTGGGCCCAGGTGGGCACAGGATTCCGCGCGGTGTAGGAGCCGGCCATCTGCGAGTGCCCAGCGCCCCTGGCGGAGAAGGCCGGGTGCTGCAGCCTGAGCCGAAGCTCGGCGTTCTGGAGCTGAGAGGCACTTATTCACTCTCTGGAATATGCCTTCTGCTACAATTTCCATCATGGTTTGATTTTAATGTCAGCTCTTCCATGAAGCCTTCCTCCACAACCTCATGGTACCTGATACCCTATCCATTATTATCCTCATCATCATCAAAGTTTTTGTCTTCTGCTGTAGGTTGGGAGCTGTTCATATCAATTTGGAATTTCAAAAAGAGCCAAGGTTAGAAGGAATTCCCATTTCCATTTCTGTTACTTCACCTGGGACAGGCCGGTTAAGGACTAGGATTAGCCCTCACTGTGTCCCCAGGGGAAAATAAAGAAGGTCATTTTCCTACCAGAGCTTCTGTCCCTGTTACAAACAACTGGAGAAAGCAAACTATATGTAATCCATGAGATTACACTAAATGTCACCAAATAAATCTTCTTTCGTGTGGTTGTTGTTTCTTAACCATCATAATGAAATAACACTTTAGGAAATTGTACTGCTTCTCCTACCACTGTATACATAATATAAATACATACATGCACTCACACACACACACCCTTCCAAACCCTTAATTGTCTGACAAATATCTTGCCATCAGCACCCATGGCAGATATATATAGGGAAGCATCCCAATTATGCCTATTTCCTGTATTTTATAAAATATCCATCACTCCTTATATGAAGACCAAAAGACAAATTCCTTAAAAAACTTGGAGCCAGGGAAAGGCAGATTTCTCCTGCAAAACCAACATCCTTTTGTAAAGGCTTTCTTTTTTTTTATTAGTTGTTCAAAACATTGCAAAGCTCTTGACATATCATATTTCATACATTTGATTCAAGTGGGTTATGAACTCCCATTTTTACCACATATACAGATTGCAGAATCACATCGGTTACACATCCACGTTTATACATACTGTGTAAAAGCTTTCTTAAACTGGCTTTGTCTTCTCATTTTGCATTCTTCTTGTCTCAGTAGTTGAGCTGAGCACCTGGTTTACTTGCTTTAATGGTCTTTAGGACAAGACATAGCTTCTGCTTACTTTTTACTCAACACTGTTTATTTTCATCTTTTGATAGTCTGATCTTACTGTATCTATGCATTTTTGATAAGCCACTTTACAACCTTGGTAGAACTAAATAGGAAATTAATTAATTGATTAGTGTCAAAACAGCAGTCCACACTGCAATTCTCTGAATTTCTACAGAGGCCAAGGTTTATAATACAAAACCTGAAATGTCAGCAAGTTCAGCCAGGACTCCCTTCCACTGTGTGTCCATGAAGGTGAGAAGAATCTATTTTGCTCCATACTGTATCCTCAGCATCTGGCCTGATGCGTAGCACAGAATTGACCCTCTATAAATGTACAGTAAAAGACAAAACAGAAAAATGCAAATAGTCAAACTTCTGCTGCAACCACTAGCCACCTGTTCTTTCAAACATAAAAATACTTTCAAAAGAGACAATCAAGCTAGTATTTGATTGATATTATCTTCCACCACACCTTGTTTTGTGGTATCAGTCAGTATTTGTATTGTAAGCAACAGAAAGCAATTCTATTTTAATCCAAAAATTATTTTAAGAAAGATATTAATCAATATTTCAGGGAGGACCTGAGAACTAAATTCAGGGGGTCTACAGGCAGAATGACACCTGAAATCACATTGTAAAATAGATCTTTTAGGGACGCTTTACCAGCATCACCAAGCCTGAGATGCTACAGCTTTGACCAATGCCACCAGAGTTGAATGCTGGATGTTCCTGCCAACAGCTGTCTCTGCTTCCTTTGGAATCTGAATGTGGCCACCTTCTCTATTACCACAAATTAACTTTCCATTTGCCTCTTTGTATCACTCACATTGATTGGCCAAGACATGCAATAAAAAGCCAGATCTACCTCCTAAGGTAGGAAATTCTCCAATACACAGGAAGAGAGGTCAGATGCTGGACAGTCACAAAAAGGAAACAAGATAAATGTCCGCTACAATCATTACCAAAAAATATTTCTTAGAGGAAAAAAAGAGAATCTGTTCAACCTCATTATGAACTTAGAGTGGACAAAACGGAAACAAATCCTGAGTAGATAACATTTTAAGCAGCCCTTATGTGGAATTCATGATTAACCAGCAAAACCCTTCTTCCCTACAAAAACCACAGGTTTTGGTAAGCATAGGTGGTATCATTACAAATCCCAACCACCAAATCACCCAAGAAGTCAAGTTGGAAAAAAAATAGGAGAGAAAGGGAAAAAGGTAGAAGAAATGAAGGAAGAGCAAAAAATAACTATCTAAAAACAGACATCTAAGAAGGGCTTCCTATAAGTCAAATACTATGTCTTTTATGGTCATTGCTTCATATTATTTGGACAAAGTGAATTTCTTGGTTTCAGTCAATAGATGGAGAAACAAAGGTATGTGCAGGTGAAGCAGTGGTGACTGGGGAGATGATGTTAAAGATAAGGATGAGTGTTTACATATGCAGTGCACTATCTCTGGGCAAGTCAGCCTAGCAGATTGAGAGTCCATACTTTGAAGCAAAATTACCTAAGTTCAAAACCCAACTCTACCAACCCACCAGCTCTGTGGACTTAAACAAATTATTTACTTGTGCTTCCAATTCCTCCTTTGCAAATGGAGATGGTGATAAAATGTATCACATAAGGTCACAGTAAAAGTTAAATGAATTAATGAATGTAAAGTACCTGGAACGGGGTCTGGTTTATACGCTAGGTACATTTGATCATACATGTTCTTACTATTCTTAATAGTCCTATGGAGGCCAGCACTTTATCCACATTTTACAGAATAGGAAATCTGACTCTGACAGGTTGGCCTTCTTCGCTTGTGAGGGACAGAACTAAAGGTTTGAATCTGGGTCTGTCTGACATTCCAGCTAAGTTCTAAGGTGCAGTCTAAACTGTTCTCCTACCCACATCACACAACACAACCCTGGGCAATATGGGCAATTAGAT